AGGGAGGTAAGTGCAGGAGGGGGGCGAGGCGACAGGTTGGAGGATATGAAAGACACACAGTCGGCCGGTCAGTCGCACTACGCGCACAGTATCAGGTGTGAAGAGTTCTTTTTGACTGTGCGCTCATCACATGGCATCAAAATGGAACCGCTGGGATTCCTGCAACTGCTCCTGTCGGTCGGCGCGCATTTCCAGGTACTGCAGCACGCTGATGATGATGATCAGTAAGACACAGGTGGCGATCAGGGTGATCGCAACGTAGATGACCTTCATGTTGTAGAGCGGCTCCAAGAAGAGTTTCGACTGCCAACTAAAGGAACAGAGTAAAAAAAGGTGATGGGAGATAGAAAAGAAAAACAAAAGCAAAAACTAACAAACTAAAGGCGACGAAAAACTGTGGGGATTTGGACGACGAATACAGTATGGCGAGTGCTGCAAGCAAAATGCCGCAATTTGCGAAACACTGATAACCACTCGCAAACAAATATTCAGTAGGGTTGCAAAGCTGACTATCGTGCAATCTAATCTCAAGTCTTTTCAGTCAAGCTAGGATGCCGGCTCTGTGATGAGCTTTTTTCTGAACACTCACAAAAGGCAGATTCTGTAAAAAAAAAATGGCTGCTTAAATAGTATGCATTTTTATCATTAATTTGGACTGCCTGTATAAATTCAAATATATTTTATAGAAAAACATACACGAAAATATTCTTCAAGTACGAAATTTAAAGAAGGCGGAATTTCCTACCAAACAAGTATAAGAAAGAATATTTTTCGTGCATGTTTTCTATAAAATACATTTGAATTCAGACAGGTAGTCCAAATAAACGATAAAAAATGCGCACTATTTCAGTTGCCGTTTATGTCAGAATCTATATTTTATAGGTGGTCATTAAAGAGCCGGCATCTAGCCGTAACTGAAAACACTTGAGCTTAGACTGCAGGATAATCAGTATTGCAACCGTACTTGATATTGGTTTGCGAGTGATTACCAGTCTTTCGCAAATTGCGGCATTTTGCTTGCAGCACTCGTCATACTGTGTATGGCGCACCTAGAAAGGAAACAGTTCTTGTTCTCTTTTCCCACGCCCAATCATTCCTACTTATACTTGCTGGATCGCCCGCAACGGCACGATTGTAGCAGCCGATCCAGTACTCAGCTGGCTGATTCCGTGCAAGCACAAATCGCGGGTTAGCCTCTGAGTTGCCTGCGTGTACGCTCTCCTTGCTACACTAAACTCTGTCTTTTGATTTTATAGATCCGCTACCGTGATCAGTATACACGACAGCGGCTACCCACATATTATGTGGAAATGCGTATATTGTTGTTATGGCGAACGGCAACGACGTGGGGTTACGAGCAAACGGGCGGTACAGCAGGCCATGCTCGCCACGGAATACGCGTGTTAAATGAAGCAGCCAATCAGTATCAAGTACGTGTCCCGCCTTTGCTCCCGAGTGCGGCCCGACCAATCGATATTTTCCAGCGCGAGAGAGA